ATGAATAATTGCTTTAGAATTCGTTAACATCAGTACGTTCTTAGAATGCTTTCAGAATATGTTTTTTCGATTGCCAGCTGCCGTTAGGAGACGACTTTTTGAAGTCACAGCTGCAGATGGAGACTGTCGGCACGGTATATAAGCCTCCCAAGATGACTCACAAGGGCTCTCTGGCTTCTGGCTCTGTTCGTCTCCTCAACGACCGCAACACTCGTCCATAGGTTTTCATTCCCTGAGCAAAGCTCTTCGGCCACGTTACAGTAGTGTTCCGTGCATTCCTTCTAGCAAAGAGCAGTTTCATAATACTCTCATATGATAAGTGATTACAGTGAGACAGCTTCATATCGGTACAGATTGAAGCAAAGGATTACCACGAAGTCGAGTTTAGTTCACTGTGGAAGTAGTATGGATGCTGAATATTTCGCCATTGGTAAAAACCAAAAAAGGAGATTCGCCAGAAACAAGCAAAATGGGACCTCCAAATTAAGGGTCGTTTGCACGTTGTAACCCAATGGCCACACCTGTCAACAACTACCACGCATTGATTGACACGTTTTTCACAGAAAAGCAAGACAGTGAAGGCCGATTGTTATGAAATACCTTTTAAAAATGACAATGACTGAGCTGCTACTGAGCGGAGCACATACGGAGGCGGAGCTCAGAAAGAATTTCGCAGCCACAGCTACAACTAGTGCATCTTTAGCCACGATAAGACCACTTCCTCCGGTACCTAGTTGCTGTCCTGTGATGCATGTATTATACTTATATGCTGCACACACTTTGTAGTAATAAATTGCAAATTGTTGAATGGAACCACCCATGCAGAAGTTGTGTGAGCGATTCCATCCACTTATCTTCTTTCCTTTTCTTCCTTACCGTCAGCCGAATTCACACCCTGTACTTTCGTGGGAGGGCACGCGTTGAAGTGATATAGATTTGGAGCAGAAACGAGGTCTCCGCGTGCGCTTCCGAATGTCTCTTATTTGCTACCCAAATAGCCCATATACCGCAGATGTAAAGCCAGTAGTGACGTCTCTCTACGCTCTGTGCAAGGTAGAAGCCACACGCCTTTTTCTCAAGGAGATTCCTCCACAAGCTCCACATTTTTTTGTGGTAGTGCAATGGTGCAAGAGATCCACTGAAGTGCCCTGAGAGAATTCAATGTTTGTCCGTCACTTTGCAACACTCACCCAACTGGTAAATGTTCTCAACTTGAATCGATGCCGAGGCGAGATCATTTCAGCGCAATAAGCCCATCCGACAGCCATTGTTCCTCAAACAGAAGAGTTTCACTCTCAAATTAATCGAATTATATTGATATCAGTCCGGCTGACGTACACTTCAAAGCATCTTCATCTGGAACACTTCGTTAGCATTCCACAAGCGCCAGCAAGAATATCTGGCTTCCAATATCCTACCTTTTATAACACACAATACTAATATATGTGTGTAGTAGTTTGTCCCACCAGTAACATGAACCTCTCGTCTCTGCGTGTGCTTTACTCTTCCGCTCTTATAGGGTCAATCCACCGTGGAGAGGATGCGTAGGCACAATGAAATTCTTGAATAGCAGAACACATACGACAAAGGTGAGGTTCCAGTTGCTGACGGGCAAAATTGATAGCACATATACAGGGGTGGCCGAAAAAATAGAGTTCACTCACGACGAACATCTGCCAGCTATAATTCGCAGAGATTGCTATGGATGATGGAAGTCTACCGGCAAAACACTCCTTGAATGACCCTTCAGTTGCAAATGCAAGCCTGTCCTCTGCTCTCATCATCTTCAGAATATGGTGTCATCTGCAACCGCCTTCAATCCAACTGAAGTCTTCCGTAATTGCTACAGCCTGAAGCACCACAATTTCTCCAATTGGTGGAGCTCTAACTACGCAAGACCCCTTTCGGCCAGTTCCGGATAACGTACTACTGGTTTAC